AAAAATTTTTTTTTAAGATAAGATAGAAGATAAAGCCATTAAAATGAAATCTGTGCTTAGTCCTATTTATTGTTTTAGTATAAGGATCAGCATACTAATGATACATAAAATAAAATCTCAGATATAAGTTGAGACATTTCTATTCTATCTAAAATAGAAAATTAGTTTAAATAACATTTCTAAAATTTTAAATGTATTTCACTTAATTGGAATCTGTTGAATTCTTAAAGAAAATTAAACCTGTAAACTACTTGGAAAATATAGAAAATATTCTTTAACATTAATTTCCTAAATGTTTTGTTGCTTTATTAAAAGCTTATAAAAGCTCTGCCTATATTTTCATTTTTTATATTAATATAATGTATATATTTCTCTTAGAATTTTAGTAGTAGACTAAAAGTTAATTTTAATATGAACAATTAATATTCAAAAACCCCTTTTTAACTTGTAATTGGACTTATTTCCTTCTCTAAAATTCTTATATTTTATTTTTTATTCTGATAAAAATATAATTTTAACAACTTTATTTAGTTTCATAATCTCTAGTACTTACAGATATCACCCCCAAATTTATTGCTAAATAGTGTTTATTTGTAAATATGGAATTTCTTTTGGTATATATTTCAATTTTCCTGAGCATATCTTAATATTGATGCATTTTATTTTTATTTATCCAAACATATTTCTCTTTTTCTAATAATAAAAAAAAAAATAAATAAAATTCTTATATTTTATTTTTTATTCTGATAAAAATATAATTTTAACAACTTTATTTAGTTTCATAATCTCTAGTACTTACAGATATCACCCCCAAATTTATTGCTAAATAGTGTTTATTTGTAAATATGGAATTTCTTTTGGTATATATTTCAATTTTCCTGAGCATATCTTAATATTGATGCATTTTATTTTTATTTATCCAAACATATTTCTCTTTTTCTACTTAAAGTCATGGACGATCAAGCCGTTCATTCCTGTGAACCAGTTAATCAGTCATCTGATTACGATAGCACAGATGAATCTAAAGAAGAATCTAAAGATGAAGATACAAAAGAGTCATTAACTGGTAAGAAAACTATGATAAAATTATTTTGGAATTAAACAAAACGTAGTTTCACTTTTAGTTTTCGAAAGGATTATCAGGTTGAAATAAACTATTTGTATTTATATTTTCGAAAAGGCTTTTTGGAAGTTAAAACTTAGATGTTCATGAATGGTAAAATATTAAAGGTTACAGATTATTTAGACTATTTTCAAATACTGTCATGTCTCTCTCTCATCATGTAATCTGTAGACCATAATAATAAATTAAGTAGTATGGGACTGGTTAGTAATAAGGATGGTTAAATAGCTTAGTTTTCCTGAAGAAAGAGAAGAAATATTTAAATTATCCAATTTTAATCTATTTTAGCACACAGATTACGTTGAAAGTTTTAGAAAAGCTGCAGGCTCCAAATGCACAAAATTTGGTATTTAATGATTCAGCAGTCTCTTGAATTCCATTGGATCAATCTTCTAGGTTGATAGTTCTTATTACTAAATTAAGCTTTAAAATCACAGGACACCTACTTTACTGAAATTGTTTTTTCCAGGAAATTAATATGTAATTGCTTGAAGAATGTTAGCTATTTCTTTACCTTTTAGGTTTTAACTGAAGATGAACTTATACTTTTAATATTTTGTATTGCCTAAGGGAAAAGTTTATAATTTACTGGAATAAAACAAAACAGAAGTTAAAATATTAAGGAAAATGAGAAAATAATATGAAAATAAATACATGGTACTCATGAAAAATCAACACGATTAGAACTGTTTGCTGTCATTAAATTTTTGCTTTTACTTTTATTACATAAAAACTTTGGCAGATTACTTAACCTGTCTGTGGTTTCCTCATCTGTAAAATGGGGATAATAATGTACCTATTTCATTGGGTTGTTGTGAAGGTTAAATAAATTACTATGTAAAGTGCCTAGAATAGTGTCTGGTATGTAGTGCTTTAATGAGTGTTTATTATTATTATTGCTACTACTGCTGCCGCTGCTAATTACATTAACTTTGAGAGAATATTCCTTGATTGCATTTAAAACTCTTAAAGACTCAGTATGTAGTGCTTTAATGAGTGTTTATTATTATTATTGCTACTACTGCTGCCACTGCTAATTACATTAACTTTGAGAGAATATTCCTTGATTGCATTTAAAACTCTTAAAGACTCTGGAATTAGACCTCACATGTTCAGCATACAATCCAATGCAGGCATGTCCTAGAATGGTCATTGACAATGGTCATTGGACTAGTCACTTTCAGTACATTTCACTCTTACGATCAGTTCTAATTGCTAGAAAGTTTTCTTTATACTGAGCTGTCTATTTTCTTCCTTAAATTTCTACCCATGGTTGCAGTAATTATTAGGTTTTATGTATGATAATGTTGACAGTGACAACTACTGGCATTTATGTAGTGTTTATGGGTAATTTAAAAAGCAGTTGCACACACATCATTTTGCTGTATTGAAGATGACTCTGCCTCTAGAGCTATAGCTTACTCTTTTTCCACATGGCAGCCATTAAGTGACACTGAAAACAACTTTAATGGCAACATATCCCCTTCTCACACCTTATGTCTTCTTTTCCAGATGATCTGCTCTGAGTTCCTCTACCAGTCTTTAGCTTGATGATTATAGACCTTTTGTTTTTCTGGTTGCATCTATTTGGCCAGTGTTTATTTCAAAATGTGATGTCTCATTTTGAACAAAATTCTGCAGATATTTTCTGTAGTGTCATTTGTACCCATATACTACCCATTCTGGACATTTTTGATGTTGCAAACACTAGCCAAGATTTCTCTTTTTTAAAAAAATCCTAATTATAATTGTTTGCACTCATCCCTATGAACTTTTATCTTTTTTATTTGGATCTGTCATTTTATCCTGTGAAAATCTTTTGAAGCTTGATTCTGTCATCTCAAGTTTATTTCAACTATGAATTTGATAAACAGGCCTTAGATGTTTTCATCCATTAAAAAACATTGACTAAAGCAGGGCTGACAATGGCATCCTTACAGTAAGTATGCTGTTTGGTAATTCCCCATAAGGTAATTGCTGTCTTTGGAGGGTTGGTTTTTCAATAGGTTGCTAATGGTTTTCCAACCAGCTCTCATCCCACCTTACCATACTCTCATAAACTCTCCACTTCCATTGTAGTCTGTAAAGGAAACTAAGAAATACAGATACAGTGCCACACATATTGATGTTGAAGTAGGCATAAATTTAGAAAAGTCTTTAGTGGTACAGTATTTGATCTTAATTTTGGCTTGTAATCCAACTCATTGCGAATCAGTCACAATAGAAGTGTTTCTGTATTGAATAACCATTTTTTTGAAGCACACATTGTATTATTATTAAATTCATTTCTCTGAGATATGAGAAATACAGTATATTAATATGATCAATGAGATTCTTCATTTAAGAAGAAACATGAAACATTAATTTAGTTACCTGCAAGGGAACATCAATCTTAGTCATTAGTACGCTCTCTGTTTTTTATTGGCGATGAACATCAAAAAGTTGTTTTTATTAGAAATTAGCTGCGGGAGTCCCATCTATCAAAAAAAGAGAAAGAAAAAAGAAGAGTGGCTGTTCTGTTACTTTTCTTTAGTGCAACTGTTTTTAAACAGAGAGAATAGAGTGTAAGATTAATATAGTTAGTTTGTAATTAGTTTTAGAGAGAGTGAAGATAATTGCGTTTAGAGTATTTTAAAATTGAGTTTGAGGATTACTGTTTTTTTTTTAATACCTGCCAATAACTCCTAAATTAGTTAAAGGTACTATTTGCTCTCCATTAAATTGCCTCAGTTTAGATAGAACTAAATCTTTCTTTTTTGTTGTTTATTTTGAGAGTAATTATGTTTTGGAATAATTTTGAAAACATATTGAGCTTTTCTAAAAACATAATACAACTGTTTTGGGCAAATCATCCTTTTGAATAAATTAATTAAGAAATGCAGGAAAATCGTATGGGTTTCAATTGAAAAATGAATGATATTTTTCCTTACATTTACAGAAGACAATTTTAACCCATGTTTCACATGTTAGCTCTGAGATTACATTAATTAAATTTGATCATTTACTCAATATTTATAAGAAAAGGTTTACATTGGTAGTATACATTACAACGTATGTTCTATTTTTAAAAATCAGGCTTCAAAATGTCATTCATCTTTAAGTGTGGGTTGATCACATTCAAATTATGAGTGTTGCTGACCTTTAATTATGGTAGACAGCTGTCTTCTATTGATCTCCATCTGAGATGAGAGATCAAGACATCTATCTGTGGCAGATTCCTTCCACATAAGTCTCGAGAAAATGAAAACAAAATGGTAAAGAACAAGCAAGCACAATATTTTCAGTTCCACCGATTTATTTAAACAACTATTCAATTATTTTATGTCTTAAATTTATAGAGGCTTGCTTAGTTTTATAACTTTATTGTTATCTTTTTTTAATCTGGAGTTTCTGCCAACAGTTAAAACTGCACCTCGGTCTCCAGATGCCCGGGCAAGTCGTGGCCATGCCCAAACTGATTCTGTCTCTGGTCCAGCTATGGCAGCCAGCAAAGAAAATCTCCCTGTGCTCAACACCAGAATAATCTGCCCAGGTAGTACAGATTCTGAAACATGGTATATTTTTAAGTATTTCTGTGGAAATGTATAAGTACTCATTTTCATGAACTATAGAAATATATTCTTAAAGGTAAAAATTCCTTTAGGACAATGTTCTTGGTACACTTATCAGCCGGAATCTAGGTCCTTAGATTCTTCTGTGTATAACAATTGCCAAGGAAGTATTAAAATACACGTTTCTGGGCCCTGCCCTGAGAAATTATGATTCAGTATTTCTAGAACAAAGTTCAGAAATTTGCATTTATTAAGTACCCAAAGTAAATATGATTTTATATTCTACTACCTCTTAAGTATCTCCACTGCTTTCCTTTTGGTTTTAAGTCTCAAGTCTCTCTGTAGTCATTTTTAGACTAGTGATACTGGTTCAGTTCTGAACATCTGAGGCATCTATTTCAGCCCTGATAAAATGCATTTACCTTGGCATTAGCATTAGTGGAAACCAAAGGACTGTGGGACAGAAGATGGAAGAAAATATAGATGTCTTAGAGGCCCTCTTAAATACCAGTTGTTTTTTTTGTTGTTGTTGTTGTTGTTTTCCTTTTTGTCTTTTTTACTGACCAGTAACGGGATTGCAACCCTCGGTGTCGCACCCGTACCGGGGACCGGCAACGGGATCGCAACCCTCGGTGTTGCGCCCGCACCACGCTCAGCCAGTGAGCAGGAACCGGTCTCCACATGGGATCCGAACCCTCAGCGGGAGCGCCGCCACGCTCCCAAGCAGCGCACTCTCCAGTGCACCACCGGGCCGGCCCCTAAATACCAGTTTTTTGACTTACTGAAAACTTTCCTGATTCATTTACAGTAGATTGAATCCAAGTTAGACCCTGAAAATAAGTGTATCCTGCAAGTTCTTTTTAAAGATGAGTCACAATTCAATAATAATAATTGGAGGCTTTAGTACCTCACTTTCAATAATGAATAGAACAACTAGACAGAAGGTCAACAAGGAAACAGAATACTTGAAAAATACATTAAACGACTAGACCTAATAGATGTCTAAAGAACACTCCACCTAACAAGAGCAGAATATACATTCTTCTCAAGTGTGAATAGAACATTCTCCAGGACAGACCATATATTAGGCTTTAAAACAATTCTCGATAAATTTATAAGGATTGAAATCATACAGAGTATATTCTCTGACCACAATGGAATGATTAGAAATCAATAACAAAATGAAGTTTGGGAAATGCACAAATATGTGGGCCAAGGAAAAAATTACAAGGGAAATTAGAAAATGAGATGAGTGAAAACAAAAATACTCCGTAATAAAACTTATGTGATATAGCTGAAATGTCCCGAGAGTGAAATTTATAGCTGTAAATGCATAGATTGAAAAAGTAGAAAGATCTCAAATCAATAACCTAACTCTTTACTTTAATAAACTAGAAAAAGAAGAGTGAACTAAATACAAGACAAACAGGAGAAAGGAAGTAATAAAGATTAGAGTAAAAATAAATAAAACGGAAAATAGAAAAACAATACAAAATATGAACAGAACCAAAAGTCCATTCTATGAAAAGCTGAATAAAATAGACAAACATTTAGCTAGACTGACCAAGAAAATAAGAGGAGATTCAAATTACAAAAATCAGGAATGGAGGAGACATCATTATGGACCTTACAGAAACAGAAAGGATTATAAGGGAAAGCTATAAAATATTACATGCCAACAAATTAGATAACCTGGATGAAATGGACAAATACCTAGAAATGCATGAACTAAGCAAAACTGATTCAAGATGTAGAAAATTTGACCATTCCTAAAACAAGTAAAGACATTGAATTAGTAATCAAAAAACTTTCTATAAAAAAATGCCCAATCGAAATTGTATTATCACTGATGAATTCTACCAAATGTTTAAAAAAGAATTAACACCAGTCCTTTACAAACTTTTCCAAAAAATAGAAGAGGAAGAAATACTTTCCAACTCATTCAAAGAAGGCCGGTATTACCCTGATACCACATCCAGATAAAAGACATTACAAGAAAAGAAAACTACAGATCAATATTTTTTATGAATATTGACACAGAAATCCCCAACAAAGCACTAGCTAAGTGAACTAACAACATTTTCAAAAGATATATACACCATGACCAAGTGGGTGTTATCCCAGTAACACAAGGTTGATTCAACATATGGAAATCAAAATATGTAATGTACCATAGTAATAAGGTAAATGACAAAAACCATACAATCATCTCAATAGACTCAAAAAAAAAGCATTTTTAAAAATCCAAACTTTCTTATCATAAAAACACTCAACAAACTAGGAACAGAAGGAATTTCTTCAACCTGATAAAGGGCATCTATGAGAAACCCACACTAACATCATACTTAATGGTGAAAGGCTGAGAGATTTCTCCCTAAAAGAAGGAACAAGACAAGGATGTCCACTCTTGCCTCTTCTATTCAACATTGTACTGGAGGTTCCAGCCTGGGAAATTAGGCAAAATAAAAAGAATTAAAGGCATCTAAATTGGAAAGGAAGAAGTAAAGCTATGTACCTTCACAGACTGATATTGCATGTAGAAAATCCTAAGGAATATACACAGATACGCACACATATATCTCAAAGTATTAGAGCTAATAAATTGAGTACAGTAAGGTTGCAGGGTAAAAGACCAATATATAAAAGTTAACTGCATTTCTCTACATTAGAAATGAACAATCTGAACATGAAATTAAGAAAATAATTCCATTTACAATAGCATCAAGAATAATAAAATACTTAGGAATAAATTTAACCAAGAAAGTAAAAGACTTGAACACTGAAAACTACAAAACATTGCTGAAAGAAATTAAAGAAGACCTAACTAAATGGAAAGACACTTGTGTTCATGGGTTGGAAGACTGAAGATCATTGTAATGGCAGTACTCCTCAAATTGAACTACAGATTTTACACAATCCCTGTTAAAGTCCCAATTGGAGTTTTTGCAGAAATTGGCAAGCTGAACTTAAAATTCATATAGCAGTGCAAAAGACCCAGAATAGCCAAAACAATCTTGAAAAATGAAGAACAAAATTGGAGGACATACATTTTGCAGTTTCAGAACTTACTACAAAGCACAGTAATCAAGACTGCAGGATGCTGCCATAGGAACAGTCATATAAATCAATGGAATAGAATTGAGAGTCCAGAAATAAACTCCTATGTTTATGCTCAGTTAATTTTCAACAAGTGTGCTAAAACAATTAAATGGAGAAAGAATAGTCTTTTCAACCAGTGATACTGGTAATAACTAGATATCCACATGCAAAGGATGAAATTGGACCCCTAGCTCACATCATATATAAAAATTAACTCATTATGGATAAAAGATTTAAATGTAAGAGTTAAAACTATAAAACTATCAAAAATGCAACAGAGGTGTAAATATTCTAGGACTAGGCAATGGTTTCTTAGATATGACAAAAAGCACAAGTGACAAAGGAAAGAAATAGATAAATTGGACTTCATCAAAATTAAAGGTTTTTGTGATTCAATGGACATTATTACAAAAGTTAAATGACGACTCAATAATTTGCAAATAATGTGTGTGATAAGTGACTAGTATTCAGAATATATAAAGAACTCCTAACATTCAACAATAAAAAGAAAAACATCACAATTATAAAATGAAAAAGGGATCTAAATAGACATTTTCCCAAAGAAGATATACAAATAGCTAATAAGTACATGAAAAGATGCTCAATATTAGTCATCAAGGAAATACAAATCAAAGCCACAATTAGGTGTTCTTTTATGCTACTGGGATGGCTATGATCACAAAAGACAGGTAATAAATATTGGCAAGGATGTAAAGCAATTGGAACTTTCATACATTGCTGGTAGGAATATAAAATGGTGCAGCCCTTTTGAAAAACAGTTTCTCAAAAAGTTAAACATAGAGTTAACATATAACCCAGCAGTTCTGATATTAGGTATATACCCAAGAGAACTGAAAATATATTTCTACACAAAAACTTGTATATGACTATTTATAGCAGCATTCACAATAGCCCCAAAGTGTAAACATCAGTTGAAATATCCATCAGTTGAAAGGATAAACAAAAAGGGGTATATCCATACAATGGAATATTATTCAGCCATTAAAAAGAATGAAGCACTGACACATGCTACAACATGATTAACCTTGAAAACATTATGCCAAGTGAAAGATTAACATAAAAGCCAAATGTTGTATGATTTTATTGATATGAAATGTGTAAAATAGTCAAATCCATAAAGACAGAAAGTAGATTAGCCATTGCCAGGGGACTGGGGGTGTGTGGGGAGTGGGGGGATGGAAAAATGGGTATGGGGTTTCTTTTGGAGGTAATAAAAAAGTTCTAGAGTTAGATAGTGGTGATGGTTGCACAACTTCATGTATGTACTACAAACAACTACGTTATTTAAAAATTTTAAAAAGGTGAATTATATGACAATAACAATATTAAAAGAAAAAAAGGTAAATTGGAAACATGCCTGTTCCTGAAAAGGCTTCTGGGTCTAGAGATCATGTTTCTATTCCAACTATGAACCCTGAAATGACCCATCTGGGCTGAATCTGTAAATATGGCTAACCTTAAAACATTTTAGAAAATATACTTTTCTATGCAGCACCTGGAATATGGCTCTTCAACTCTCTAAATTGTTCTTTATTCTCACCAGATCTATTGTCTTGTTTGTTTGTTTTTTTTACTCATTTGGACATAAAGGAAATTGGCAAAATATGCCTTAGCATATTCAAAACTATGAAATTAAGTGAAAATAAAACTCATCTTGACTATTTGATAATCAGCTAAACGTTATTAGTTAAAATAATGAATAATAATAATCCTCTAACAAGAACACATTGTTGAGGAAAGTAATGTTTGATAAATTTCTAATTTCCTAGTGTTTCTCAATTGTATGACATATTTTTCTTCATGATTCTGTCCTTCATTTGTTCCCTTAGGCCCCTATTACTTTGTTTTCTTTCTAGACTTTAGTATTTCTAGCCTTTATGTTGGGTTGAGTGTATCATAAAGTTCATTCATTTGAATACCATAATTAGTTGGTGGAAAGCATGTTGAAATAAATTTGAAGCTTTGCATACTCAGAAGTAAGATGGATGCTTCCTTTTTTATATTCAATACTGTATGCTTCCGGGGCCGGCTCGGTGGCGCCCTGCTACAGTGCACCGCTTGGGAGCGTGGCAGCGCTCCCGCCGAGGGTTCAGATCCCACATACAGACCGGCCGCTCACTGGCTGAGCGAGGTGCAGGCGCAACACCGAGGGTTGCGATCCCATTGCCGGTCCCGGTCCGGTACGGGCGCGACACTGAGGGTTGCGATCCGTTGCTGGTCACAAAAAAAAAAAAAAAAAAGAAAAAAAGGAAAAAAAAAATACTGTATGCTTCCAAAATTCATAAATATTTACATTTAATATTTTACTATTCATCCTTGACACTAAAACTGAGTTTCTGCCTTAATACATCTCTTAACCTTTTAAATTACTGTTACCTATACTTTGAGAATGTGGAAGTGATAACCCCATGATATTTTGGGTAATTCAGCCATTATTGTAAATTCCTTACAGATTTAATACTTTATTTGCTGTATCAAAGGAAGTAATGTGTATCTGTTGAAGTTATAGAATTATTAGGATCGTAAATGAGAAAATGTCACGAAGCAACTCCTCTTTATGTCCTTATCTCCTTAATTCTTTACGACAATATATAGATCCTTGGTAGTATCAAAAACCTTGTATTCACAAATGTCATACTTCTTAGTTTTGATTTATCAGAAAAGTAGGTACTGAAAACCATGTTTTGGGAGTAAGATTTTTAAGATTGGGCACGAGTGGACTGGTTCTTTCTCTTTTTTTCCTTAACATGTGATCCTGTATCTATTTTTCTGTCCAGGTTTAAGAGCAGGACTAGCTGCCTCAATTGCTGGGAGCTCTATCATCAACAAAATGTTACTAGCAAATATTGATCCTTTTGGGGCAACACCATTTATTGACCCAGATCCAGATTCAGTGTAAGAAAATGCTTTTGCAAGTATTTTGTTTGTCTTTTCTTGTTTTGGTGTTATATGAGTTGTAAGATTTCAAATGTATTGCAATAAATTTTGTTCCATATACAAAAAGGATGATCAGAAAATGTCAAAAGTTGATAATGATGAGCAGCACATTGAGCCCTTTGAAACTTAGTGAACTCCGTGGTCTGTCCCTGTGGTAGGTCCCTTTCCAGGCTATTCTTTGTGAGAGCAACACTCTGGCAAAGGAAGATACAGCTCTACTCAGTTTCCCTGGAATATCTCACTCAGTGTGGTACTTCATACTGTATTTATACTATTCCCTTCACCTCTTTTTTCTCAGTCTTGCTAAATCTGTCATCTTTCCACATCTAGCTTCTGGGTTTACTTATTTTGGGACACTTATGGCCCACATTGTTCTCTTCCCTCTCAAAACTCCTAAAAAAAAAATTTGGGAGTCCAAAATATACTTCCTTTTACTTCCATTTTTAATATCACTTCTGTTATATCTCACTTCTGTAATGACATTCCTCAAGGACAGTACCACATTTTAAACTTCCCAGAACACCTAGAAGAATGGATTAGAACTAGTAGTTTTTTGCTCAGTAAATATTTCTTCATTGAGTAGAAGTTAATGAGGAGACTTTCTAATCATCAAAAATAGAGAAGTATTGGCACCTGCTAACAGGCTCCCCATATAGTAGTTTTTTGCTCAGTAAATATTTCTTCATTGAGTAGAAGTTAACGAGGAGACTTTCTAATCATCAAAAATAGAGAAGTATTGGCACCTGCTAACAGGCTCCCCATAATCATCCTCATTTGTCTGTGTTGTGAGGAACTCATGTAGGAGATAGAAGAACTAAGATTTTATAGTTAATAGAAAAGCCAAACCATAACTGTCTCTGCTTTGCTTTCTCACCATCCCTTTATATCACATGTACCAAAAATTGTACACATGTATCATCGTTGTACACATGGCATATAAATAGGAAGTGATTCCTGCTAAGTCTGTAAGGAATGGAAGTTTAAATGGTTTTAAGTGCTATTTTGTGTACAAATTGTAATTGCTGTAATGAACCTGAAATTGACTTTCATGTAGTTTTCCTTGTTATTATAGAGATGGATATTCAGAAAAATGTGTCATGAACAATTACTTTGGGATTGGATTAGATGCAAAAATTTCATTAGAATTTAATAATAAAAGAGAGGAGCACCCTGAAAAATGCAGGTAATTTGGGTAATAGTAATAATCTTATTACATGAAGGCAATTTTACTTTAATTTCATTAATTATATCTTTTGCTTGCTCTGCCTTCAAGGGGTAAATAAATAAAATTTCCTGAAATTGCCTGCCAACATTTATTTTCAGGAGCCGAACTAAAAATTTGATGTGGTATGGAGTCCTTGGAACTCGGGAGTTATTACAGAGATCGTACAAGAATTTAGAACAAAGGGTTCAACTTGAGGTAAGTTCATCTTGAAGTAAAGACATTTCAGATTATTGTACTTTGAAAAATAATTTCAGTTGTGGATGCAATTCGACCTAAATTCCTCTTGATTAGTGATCAAATACTTAAAAGGGAAAAAATGGAAGTGAGTGTCAACTTTATACTAATGGAAGTATAGACACTGAATGACAGTTAACTATCCTTGTATTAGCTCCTGAAGTTGGGGCTAGTATGGAGGGGTGGTGCCCCATGAAAAGGTGGAGCCACAGCAGTGCATGTATAGGATAGGGTTTTTAATAGATTTTCTCATTTAAGTTTCCAAATTCTGACCCAATTCTGCAATGCCCAAAGTTTCACAAATCCTTGAAAATAACATTAATAAATAGAATCTTTTAATTTAAGTGTATATATTTTTGTTCCAATTACTTATAACAAGTCAGTAAAAAAAAAGAGGAGATTTTGAGCATTTAAATTTTTTTGTACTTTTCACTAATTTAAATAGGGAATTAAGAATAGCAAAAGTTATTTAATCTCCTCCAATAACAGAAAAAAGAAGATTTGGGGACATGGCTCTGAAAAGCCCATTAATTTCTGTGACTTTTATTTTCCTTTACTCTTGCTTGGTCCAGGGCTCACTGTTTATACTGATAGGCATGTCTTTCCTATCATATCTTTTTATAACTGGATATTTTTAATTAAAAAATGTATTTAATTAAAAGTGTATCATACATACAGAAAAGCATACAAACCTTAAGTCTACAGCTCAATAAATTAAACAGAGCATTATTATTTTAGGTGTTATCTCAATACTGGAATGTAGACTTAAGAGGTGCCCGGCTTGTTCATTCATTATCAGCTACATGTCCTAGGGAAGATTAGCCTATTATACCTCCCACTCTAAAAACACAATTACATGATTAGCTGGTTTAATTTACCATTGCTTGTAAAATTAAGGTAGACATTACTGGATGGAAAGGCACAAAATTAGGAAGGTTCACATTTTGTAAATGCTATCCTTGACAGCTCATCCCCATGTCAACTTAGGTGTCCTCCTGTGTATTTTATTATAATCATTCCTTTTCTAACCCATATCTCCTGGTGCGCCACACTCCTTAAGGACAGGTAGGAGGTTGAGTTCATCTTTGTTATCCCAGTGTTTAGCACAGTACCTGACCCTGTCTTGCGGGAGAAATGGATAGGTGAATGATCATTTCAGCATAATTTGATAAGTACTGTGATCTAGCCTCATAGGGGCCGTTTTTAAGGTTTAGGGAACTATCTGGAATCCTAATGACTGGATGGTCTTAGTTCCTGGAAGAGCCTCAGCTCTTCAAAAATAGGATTTGTTGCCTCTTCAACTGGTGGTCCAAATTTTGAACAAGACATCTTACGTACACAGCTGCTTTTTAGTCTCCATTTTAAAAGTTCCTAATCTTTTTTCAGCTGTCAATCCCTTTGGCATTCTGGTAGAACTATAGACCCCTTCTCAGAATATTGTTTTTAAATGCATTATATAAAATACATAGACTTACAAAAGAAACCAATAATATTACAATACACTAACAAAATATTTTTTAAGTTATTAAAGAGTAATATATGTGTTTCATCATTACCACGTTAAATAAAAATCTAATGGCATGTCTAATAAATACCATAAACTAAAAGTGGTGAACATAAATGATGATATAGGATATTGGAAACATCTATAATGTGATACAAAAATGTTTATGTATCTATTAATGATGAAGTGACAGGTATTGCTAATGCCTGGTTTGTTACCTACACTGAATTTCAGAGATTAGTGAACATAAAGAGATATGTTTCTACCGTCAAGATCCCCCCGAATCTATCCTTGGATGCCTGGTTTTTGAACCTCAAGTTAAAAACTGTTTTGTTTTGTTTTTGTCTTTAGAAAAGCCATGTGGTTTGCTCTTCTGCTGTTAGATATCACACACAACTTGGGTGGCTGGGGCAGGAGGGGCAGCAAAGGTTGGGAATGGGCTGCAGCACTGAGGGCCCTTTTGCCTTGGACCACACCCCACCTGCTCTGAGGGGCCAAATCTGTAGGGGCAGAGGCAGGCCTGGAGAGTCCCAGAATGGGAGATGGAGAGTCCCTGGGTGACTGAGGCCTCAGGTGCCTTGGACTCATGGCAAATGGCCAGAGGTCAGTGGAAGGTGTGGCAAGGTGGCTGGCAGTGCCCCTGGCTCATCTGCCAGGAGGAGTGTGGGGGCCCCCTGCCCACGTCTTCGGCCACACCAGCTCTCAGCAGTTTTCTCTGTTACCAACAGCTGGGACATTCTGTCCTTCAAATTTAAGGAATCCTTTGCTGGGTGGCACTGTTGAGACTACTACTGGAATAGCTAGTTTAAAATCAAAGCTGTTGTGTTCTTTGTAGAAGGAATTTCAAAGCAGGAGTTCAGAATGTAGGTTCCAAGAAAGGAATTCATCTGTTCGCCTAGTTTCAGAGGCTGGGAAGTCCAGGGAACACATCTGGTGAGGTGACCCTTACAGCAGTGCAGGGTGTCACCTGGTGAGAATGGCAGAACAGAGAAAGTGAGAGCAAGAACCCTTGATATAGAAGTCTGAGTATACATTAAATGATAAAAAAGGAAAATAAAATTAATAAAACAAGATAAAAACATGTTAATATAAAATGTTATAAAATAACATATTATAAAATAAAGTAGAAGTAGGGAATTCTTAGCCATAGTTAAAAGTACACAAAGAAAACACCTCCTCCTAAGGACCATGGAAGGCCTATATTGTCCTAAAATTAATTTCCCTGAAGATGGTTCACTAGGGAAATAGTTGGAGAAGAGACACCTATGACTTGGGAAGCTCTTCCCAAAGAGATCCCTTCACTAGTGACAGTCCTTGGCAAAACAACTCTTATCTTTTTGCTTGATAAGTTTTCCTTTCCCTGTTTTGTTGTGGCATGGCCCCAGGTGCTAGGGTACACTGTGGACCTTTTAATATGAAATACTCAACATGTCTAATGGTTAACAGTGTGTTTTCATGAAAAAGTAAATAATTGTAAAAAACGTGGTGTTAAATCGTATATAAAATCTCAGTTATTAAAGTAGATTATTCAAACTGGATTCTCATTTGTTCTAAAGGTTGAAGATCATTTGATTGTGCATTGAAATGCAATTTTTATGGAGTTATGTTAATTTTTTTTTTAATATAAGAATTGTTTAGTGAAAATGTAACATCTATTTAAATCTGACATCTGCAGGCTCTTTTATAAAATGAAGGCTTAAATCATTTCATTGGATTAAATGTTCATTTAGAAAAATGTTAAGTGGTTCTGTGTAAATGTTGATTAAAATATTAAAATGGTCATCATAAAATTTATGACATAATTATGATCACTTTTCTTCAGTATTTTTAAAATGTCAGTTCCTGGGCCGGCCCGGTGGCGCACTGGATAGTGCGCCGCTTGGGAAGCGCGGCGGCGCTCCCACCCGAGGGTTTGGATCCCACATACAGACCGGTTCCCACTCGCTGGCTGAGCAAGGCGCGGGAGCAACGCCGAGGGTTGCGATCCCGTTGCCGGTCCCTGGTCCGGTACGGGGGCAACACTGAGGGTTGCAATCCGTTGCCGGACACGGAAAAAGACAAAAAGACAAAAAAATAAATAAATAAAATAAATAAATAAATAAATAAAATGTCAGTTCCTTAACTGATTGTCTCCTTGATAGCTAATTAGGCTTTATCAAGGAATTAATAGATAAAATGAAGCAAACAACATTAATTCAAGAAATTGATTTAAGAAATAACATTTATGAAAAGGTAACAATTCTGCTTCTACACTTAATAAGAATTTATTTACATGTTATGTATAATTAATTCACTAATCATATCTTTTTTTTCATTTAATTGGTAGTTTAATTTTCATTTAAGTGATTAATTTGAAGGCAAGGAGGAAAGTAAGGCACTTTCTGACATGCATGTTTTTTTGTTTGGCTTTGGTTCTGACTACTTGAAAAACTGTTTTGAGTTTAGCCAGTCACCAGGTAGGTACGGAGCACTGGCAATAATAGATCAGGGGCTGTGAGAGTGCTAGATGAGCCGGCTAGGACCAGAGTCTGCCTTTACAGAGCCTGCTTTCAAAAGCATGCTTCAATTAAGCAGAGAGAGGGTCATGACAGGAGTGAGAATGTCATAAGTGGCCTGACAGGACTCAAGAAAACTATGGCCTGATTTTGGAGAAAAGAAGAGGGAAAACATTTTTTAAGAAATATAGTTTTCTGTAACAGCTTCTGCTGCAGTTACTTACACTTTTTAATTTTTTTTGATTAAAAAAATAAGGTAAAAGCCTTTGTACTGCGTAGGAGTGTATATGTACAGGAGAGCAAACCTTACCAACACACTTTGCTCCATCGCCCTTTGGTATTTTAGTATGTTTCAAACAGTGTTTTTGTTCTTTTTGTCTAACCTCTGAGTTTTTTACCTTACAGTGTGATGGGCAGTATATTCCTCTCCCCAGTTTGCAAGGCATAGCTGTTTTGAACATCCCCAGCTATGCCGGAGGCACTAACTTCTGGGGTGGCACCAAAGAGGACGATGTAAGTAGCCTAATAGGAGTAGTTTGTTTCCTCAAAAATAATTAAATCACTGGAATACCTTGCTTTTTTAAATGTACTTTTTAATATTAATTTCACGCTGGAATGTTTTACATTGGAAAGGTGAAAGGGTAGAATAGATTTGTTTAAGATTTTATTTGAACAGTCTCTCCTGGATATGCTCTAAAATTTCTCATGTTAAATATACAGATATGCATAGCTTGGGATGTAGGTGACAATTTTCTGGATGAACACAAAAGAATCTACTTTTGAAAAGTAGATTTAGGCGATAAAGAAAGGAAGTTTGTAGTTTTTAATTTCAGACCTGTATTAGTTTTCTGTTGCTGCTATAACAAATTAATACAAATTTAGCAATTTAACACACATTTATCATCTTACGGTTCTGTATGATAGAGATTTGACATGGTCTCATGGGGCTAACGTCAGGGTGTCAGCTGGGCTGTGTTTCTTCCGGAGGCTCTAGGGGAGAATGCATTTCCTTGCCCTTTCTAGCTTCTCCAGGCTGCTCACATTGTTCTCTCCATCTTCAAAGCCAGCAGAGGCAGGTTAAATCCTTCTTATATCACATCACTCTGATCTGCTCTTCAGCCTCCCTCTTCCACTTTTAATGACGCTTGTCATTACATTGGGCCCACCCAGATCATCCAGAACAATCTCCCCATCTTAGGGTCCTTCATTTCATCACATATACAAAGCTTCTTTTGCCATGTAAGGTAACATATTCACAGGTTCCAGGATTAGGACATGGATGTTTTTAGGGTTGGGAGGTGGACATTATTCTGCCTACCATAATATCTTTCTGTACATTTTAAAGTTTTTAAACTTACCTGTATATGATTATTGTTGTTATTTTTAGAAAAATTAAGAAGGCTCATTTGGCCAGTAAGGTTAAGGGCTATTTTTGTTTTCTTTTTACACTTTCCTATATTAAAAAAGAAAAACACAACCTCACAAATGCAATTGTTCTAAAAAGAACAAAAGAGAGGGCACAATTATTTACATATATGTAGCAATAAAAATGAGAAGCATTATAACAGTATTCATTTGAAGAGTCATACATAGATTTTGATTTGAAGCTTATGAAATAATGGTTCCTACTCACCCATTTTCTCAGGGCTCTGAAATGGACAAGAAGAGATTAAAGTATAAGATGAATTGGGTAGTATTTGTAATATTTGTGATATGAATATATTCCAATCCTATTAAAGTATAGAAGCTTACACTAGCTGTCAACATTTTTTTGTCAGCCCATCACTATTAAATGTTTTGAAGGGGAGAAATCAGTGAGATTAAGATAATTAAGCTGAACACCTACTAGGTAGTCAGACAGTATTCTAAGAGCTTCACATTCATTATTTAATACCTATGTTTTTAATCTAAATTTTCCCAATGAAAAAGCTGAGGCAGAGTTTCCACAGTTAGTAGGTAGCAGAGACGGTTTAAATCTAGGCAGTCCAATAACAAAAATTATAAGAAATCATCAATGTTAGCAAGTTCATGTTTTGATATTTTCAGTGAAAGTTTTAATTAGGATACTACTTTATACTGAATTTTTTTTTAGTTGCAGTTATTTATGATATAGTAAAAAAGAGAGTACGAAGGACAAATACAGGCTAAATTTAAAATTTTAGAGTAAATTAATTTTGTAAAAATGCATAAAGGCAAAGTAAGCCTACACGATTTTTATTCTCTAAGGTTTCTGCTTTTAAATACTCAAATGCCCTAAAAAGTGTGTAACAACAAGGTCCAGGGTTCAATCCCTGTACTGGCCAGCCAAAAAAATAAATAAATAAAAATAAAAGTTGTATTAAGATATAAAGAACATATGGAAATTGCTTGTAACACCTTGAAAGATTTCCCCAAGAATATACCAAGTGAACTGGATTATAATTTGAATATTCATTAGCTTTAACCTTATGAAACTATATCACCTTTTAGATTTTTTAGATTTCCAAAAATCACATGCATCATCTTATCAAGATATCTGAGTTATGTATGAACAGATAATTAACATGTTTTATACCAAGTTGAATTATTTAAAAATATATTAGTTCACTGGTCCAAAGAGTGCTTTATGAGATATAAGTATTATATTCCTGTGGGTTTTAAAATTCTTTTTTATCATGTTTGTTTATTTTAAGCAATCTTCAGTGATTTTCTTCTTGGATTATCATTTCCTAATAATATTTACTTACTCTCCTGCTTACTGTTTTTTATAAGTTTATATATATATATATTGCAGAGTTTTCATTGCTTGATGTACCACATAACCTAAACTTTCAGTGGAAGTATAGTATAATTTTTTCTCTCAGATATTTGCTGCACCATCATTTGATGACAAGATCCTGGAAGTTGTTGCAATATTTGACAGCATGCAAATGGCAGTTTCAAGGGTCATTAAACTGCAGCATCATCGAATAGCATTTTTTCTCTCAGATATTTGCTGCACCATCATTTGATGACAAGATCCTGGAAGTTGTTGCGATATTTGACAGCATGCAAATGGCAGTTTCAAGGGTCATTAAACTGCAGCATCATCGAATAGCCCAGGTTGGTTTCTCTAATCAATCCTGACTATACTTCTTGGGCTGTGGAAAGTTAAGGGAAGCTATTCCAAATGATTCCTACCCTGGATATTCATCTATAAAGTATTGACTTTTTTGTTGTGTCATTTGTTACTATGTCATCAACAGTGGCAAAGCATAACATTTTATTCCACAGAATGGACTAAAACTCAAGCCTGAATGCAGATTGAGTCTCAATTTCTCAGGATGATTTGTACTCTAAAATAACTTGTTTGTTTTATTTCAGTGCCGTACAGTAAAAATCACCATATTCGGTGATGAGGGAGTCCCAGTGCAGGTGGATGGTGAAGCATGGGTTCAGCCTCCAGGGATTATCAAAATTGTGCACAAAAACAGAGCTCAGATGCTAACCAGGGACAGAGTATGTAACAAAACACATTCTTCCAGAAATGTATCAAGTCGTTTTATAAAAATCTTTAATTGTTATGAAAAGTAGAAAACAAGGAAAAAGATTTAAATTATCTCTTAAATCTGACAGTTAGGTCATTGTGGTTTTAAAATATGAACAAATATTTAGTTAGATTTTTTGATTAATAGGCTTTATTTTTTAGAGCAGTTTTAAGTTTACAGAAAAATCGAGCAGAAAGTACAGAGAATTCTAATTATATTCCCACATACATCCTCTTCCTCCCCCAATGCACACATAAATTCTCCAATTATTAACATTGTGCATTAGTGTGGCACGTTTGTTATAATTGGTGTGCCAATATTGATACATTATTATTACTAAAGTCCATAGTTTACATTATTCTTTGTGTTGTCCATCTGTGGGTTTGGACCAATGTAGAATCACTCGTATCCACCATTACCAGATCATACAGATAGAGTCACTGCTCTAAAATTTCCCTGTGTTCCACCTATTCATCCT